CTTCGGGCGGATAGATACCCCAGATAGATTCGAACACACTACACTATGTTAGGCTTGTTGATTATTATAGGAAGTGTCACGTGTGCCGATCGTAGTGTCACATAAATCGTTGAAGTAGATGCATGGGTTTTGTCTCTGTGAGCATACATTTTCGGCGTTGAGACTTAGACGAACGTTAAAATTACATTGGTAAATAATCTTATGTTTTATGAATAAATAGTCATATTTATTTCACAAATAGAAAAGGCAAGTATCCGTAGCATAAATGATAGTTGTTCTATCATCATACTCTAGTGGCAACTATCCGCAGCTATAAATTCTTTAACCAGCGCAGACAAACTTTTCTCTTGAAAGAAGTCCAATTCATCAATTAGCCCACCAGTTTTACGAAAAGTTTTGGTTGAAGCACAATTTTAACAATATTATTATAATGGCTGGATCGAAACCGTTAAAATGGTATCTGGAAAGAAATCCTGAAATAATTTTAAGCTCTATTGATTGATAAGTTATTGGCTTGATACAATATTAATATGCTATAGTAAACAAATATCCTTTTAAATGTCAAATAAAATAGGATTTATTCAAAACGCCCCTTTTTTAATATGTAATTCACATCAAAAAAAAAGGGGCTGTATTTTAAGTGGTGTAACTATTCGGCTTTTACCCTATATAATTACTATATATTGGGTTGGCACAAAAGTAATGAGACACACTAGAAAAATCTATAACATTTCCTTTTTAAAATATTTTTTTTCGATAATATTCTAGAATGTTGTAGAACATTCTAGGTACTTCTGGTGTAGGGTATATAAAGCCGCGCTCGCGATTTGTTTAGTTAGTTTGAAGAAAAATGGACGAGCGACAAGTTCGAACACTATACTTATACGAGTACTTGTTAGGCCACAGTGCGCGGGCTGCGGCTGACAATATCAACAATGCATTAGGCGCTGGAAGTACAAGCCATGCGACGGTGTCCCGATAGTTTGACCGTTTTAAATCAGGAGACAGGAGCCTTGAAAGTCAGCCACGCTCAGGGCGACCACCCGCAGTGAATGATGACGATTTGCGCCGCGAACTGCAGTTGAATCCGGATGCTACCACTCGTGAATTAGCGGAAGCACTTAAATGCAGTCACCACGCCGTGGAACACCATCTGCATGAGCTTGGTTATCGAAAAGTTTTGGCTCGGTGGGTACCGCACATCCTTACAGACGCCAGTCGTGCAGTCCGTGTCGCTATCTGTCAGTCACTTTTGCTGCGACCCCGACGTAAAGAGTTTTTGTCAGATCTGGTTACTGGAGATGAATCATGGATTTATTACGAGAACGATACACGTCGTGCTTTTTGGCTGCCTCGAGAAGAAACGCCACCAACTCAACCGAAGCCGAGTCAAAAGAACCGCCGAAAAATTCTGCTTTGCTGTTTCTGGGATGCGCAAGGCATACTGTTTTATGAGCTATAACACAATGAAACTATAAACGCTGACAAATATTCAACCCAGCTTACCAAATTATCTGCCGCTATCAAGAAAAAACGACGAAGACGAGTCAATGTTGTTTTACTGCACGATAACGCTCGACCTCACGTCGCATCTGTGGTTCGCCGGCAGTTGGAGAACTTGGGCTGGGAGACGATACCCCACCCACCTTATTCCCCAGACCTCGCCCCATCAGACTATCATTTGTTAAGAGCCCTGAAACAGCATTTGCGGGGTAAACAATTTAATGATTTCTCTGACGTAGAGGCGGAGTTGAACAACTTTTTCGAGTCATAGCCATCAGAGTTCTGGGCAAAAGGCATCCAAACTTTGCCGGATCGTTGGCAAGAAGTCTTAGATACTAATGGTAATTACATCATTGACTAAACTTTTTTTATTGTAATAATAATAAAAAAGTAAAAACTTAAACCAAGTGTCTCATTACTTTTGTGCCAACCCGATACTATTGCTACAACTGACTTACTTCAAATTCTTTAAATATTATTGATAAAGGCAATACCTTTGAAAGTATTTATAATATATATCTCGAATAAATTTTAGATTACTTTATCGTATTTAAAGAGTTCCATTGAAACCCTTTATAGTGATCGCAGATTGTTTCGCGCCGAACGAAACGAAGTTTATTTATCGCACATCTTATCTACGCCTACGGGAAGGAAAGACACATACAAAATATTTTACTCAAGTGTTGCCATAATACCCTAGGCGATTCTGGAACAATTCTTTATTTTTACTAAGAATATTGACTGTGAAACTTAATCAGGTTTTTTACTGTAAATTTATTGATCGAAAATGAAGAAATTTTAATACTGCTAATAATAATAAAGACAAAGAGAGAAAATAAAAATAGTGTAAAATTTGTTTAAGAAATGTCCAAAACCATTACAAGATGGTATATTTTTTTTATAAAACATGACTGATTCTAAATCTACAAGACTAATAAAATCAAATAAGAGCAAAATATTTATAAATGGTATCTCGGGTAAGGCTGCAAAGGGGCCTCGTCCTCGCCGAATCTTACGTTAGTCGGATTTCTTCAGGATTAATGTTTCTTCCGAATTCTCTCAGCGATTTACCAGATTGGGTTCACAAGAGTGTGCGAGATTTCACGTTTTCAAACAACTTACCTACAATCTGATCGTATAAAGGTGAACATCCACCTTATCCGCACGCACATATTTTTCCATAGCTTTTTATGATTTTTTATAGCACTCCATCCACAATACGTACCGACAGTAATGACGGCACGCATTATATGAGCAAATAAAATGAGATGCGTGCCGATGAAATTGGATTACTTCTATAGAGCTACTATACTAGATTACTTCGCAGCGTTACGTCAAAAATGACTTTAAATAAAAATGTCAATCGTCCTTAAAACGTCCACTGATCCACATGCAGCAGACGCACGTTACGCAATGGATTTGTCGATATCATATGTCCACTGCATCTTGATTTTGAATAGTAGTGCCATGTGACAATTTTGACATAACGCTGCCAAATAATAATGTATAGTAGCTCTTGGAAGTAATTCGTATCTTTTCATGGGCACACATCGTATTCATCGCTCATATAACATTGATGTCGGTGTGGCTGGTAAGGAAAGTGGGCAGAATGCTAAATAAATTCATAACATAGCTATGGAAAATTATTTGAGAACCATGCGTCGGTTACGTGCGTGTACAGAATAGACGTTCACTTTTAGGCGTGTTCGATGAGATCTGGGGGCCAATTCTACTAAATAAATTTTGTTTAAATCGAATCGAAAACGGATCGAAACCGAACGAAACTACAGTTTTTAATGGTTTTTCTATTCTATTAAGTGACGTACGATACAATTCCAGCTAAAATAGAACTGGAATTGTATCGTATGTAACTTTGTAGAATAGGAAAACCATTAAACACTGTAGTTTTTTTCGGTTTCTATCTGTTTTCGATTCGATTTAAACAAAATTTATTTAGTAGAATTGACCCCCTGCTATCATGGCTCCACTATGCGTCTCCCCATTCGACCCATTCTCACGGAGATTTAATTTTGGAAAAGTTATCGGTCGGAAAAGGTGTCATTATAGTCCACTAGTACTACGACTATGCAGCTAGGCATTTATCTAGTGCCGTAGTATGTGTAATATAAAAGACAACAGCATAAGTACAGCGTTTTCTATGTGTTAAACGGTGACTTGAAATTTTCATAGAATACATGTAATTAGAAAAATATGTTTTTTTTTTAATAATTAAAAAGATTGCCGCGTGCAAGTATCTCTCTAGGGTTTTCAAATGTCCACTGTTACTTTTTTTTACCAGTTCTAGTTTAAATGTTACGTCTATCACACGCCTTTTTTTAAATTCACAAAATTAGGTGTTTTCTACATCTAATGATCATTAATAAAATAGTACCGATTTGACTTGTCATCAAAATGAACCTGTAAATGGCAAATCTACACTAGCTTTTAACATGTGCATTATTTACTCAAGAGGTAAGGGAGCTATGACCCAAACTAAAAGGACTGACGCAAGCGGCACTTGTCCATGGCTTAATATGGTCTTTTAAGTTTTTTCCTTTTATATTAACTGATGATAGATTTAGTAAGGATATTGTTACGGAGCGCAGCTGCGTAGATGGCGTTATGCGCCCATGGATCGCGCTAACACTGTTGAAACTACCTGAATTATATAGGTACGTCGGGTTGGCGAGAAATGGAAAGTCAGTGCGAAAGAAAGAGACGTGTAGCTATTATAAAACTTTCGGCAATGCCTCAAACGTTTTAGTTCCTGACCAAGAACATTCTAGATGTGTTATCGTCCATATAAATACGCGGTGGACGGCCTACCAGTCCTGGCATTTTTCAGTCACCAAGCTATCTGAAAGCAAAAGCGATCGGAGGCAAGACTCAAAGCTATAACTAGTGCGGTGAACGATTAAAGTTAATTAAGGAAAATCGGACTGTGAACTTAATTGGCGTTACTTTTTATCCCGAACCTGAACACGTAACAATATCCTCAATGCCCATAAATAGGCCGGAGTTGTTCATTTTAATTTTTCAACTAACGCATTACTCCTTTTTATTTCTGTATAATTTAAATGCAAATTTACGAAATACTTGCTAATTTAAACGTGTAAAACCAATATCACCTGCGCTTAATAAAGGTAAAAATAATTTAAAATCGGTTTAATATTTTCAAAGTCTATTCGATACAAACAACTATTTACGATATAAATATTTGATATTTGTGGTTTAAGATATTTATTTTTCACAAGAATTTTCATAATTCACTTACGTGAGGAACTGACAAAAAAATTAAAAATTCTAGTAGCTACGAAAAGCGCATACAATACAACACTTCTTAATTTAAAAACTATATACAGCATTTATATTAGATTACAATATGAAGGTAACCAACAAAAAGAAACAATCGGAAACATAATAAACAGAATTAAGATGCGCGTCACTATTTTCTTGTAATCTTATTAGATAACAATGATCTATATTTTTTATTGCAGGTAACGTGGCGGCATTGGGATGATCTCCAACGCCTCGCTCGCCTCCTCAACTCCACATGAAGATGACCAATTGTGCCTGGCGAACTGCATTGTTTTTTTTAATATGGTTAGTTTAAAAGTAAGGCTTGAATAATTTTTTCTTGCGTATAGAGAGTCCCATTGAAATTAAAAACCATATGTTACTTTAATTATAAAACAAAACCTTTTTTCATGACGACCTCCGTAGCCAAGTGGTTTGCACGCCGATTTCAAGGTCCCAGGATCTATTCCCGGTCGGGTCAATGTCGGAAATGTACATATCTATATTGTCTCGGGACTAAGAGTTGTTGTCTCAGATATTCTATAATAGGGAAACTCTAGCTACTCATCTTGGAATCTCAGCAATTTATGTGATGTTGTCTTATACCTATATATTTATTTATTCAACCAAAATCTTGGATCTATAGGCAATTCAGACTTACCTAAACATGAAGGGTTTACGTTATTTTATTACAAAGTTCCCATAGTCACATTATAATTCCATCATCAGAGCCTGAATATTATTTCAGACCATAATCATCGTTTAGAGAAATCGGGCGAGCCGGCATTTGATGGGGTTCCAGTTCAATCCTCAGATCAAGTCCATTTATTCACATTTCATAGTCATCATTCGCATGCATGACTTAATTGAAAACCGGGTTTTGGGTAATAATAATAATATTTTTTTATTGTCAAAAATATTTACATTCTCAGTACATAGGTTAGTCCTCCTTTTAAGTCCCTAATTAGACTCTTGCTCCAGGGGATCTCGCTCCTCTTTATCAAAAAATATTGACAAAAGACTTAAAATATAAAATAGTTGGCTTAAAGCTTGCAAGATTTAGCCCATAACACAGCTAATAAAAAAGAAACTGTAAAAAAGTTTGACGACAATGTCATTTCTCTTAAATAAAAACATAACTATGGACGAACTAAATATAATTCGTAGCTCATTTTGGTAGTAGTTTTGTAAAGAAAAATGTTTTCTTATTTTTTGTAATGAATTATTTTTTCAAAATGTCAGTTTAATTCATAACAGATGTAGTTCATCCGTCACCTTTTTACATAAGTAAGTTTATATTTTTGACTTAAATCATTTTATATATAGATAGTGACTTATATAAACCGTATTTTGAATATATTTATTGATCTCAAATTAAATGTAGATGACAAATTACGTGTTGATTAATCTATACCTATATATAAAATTCTTATTATTTTATTTAATAAAAATTTAATAAAATAATAAATTAAATAAGAAACTAAATATATATGATAAACAGTTGTACGAATGTAAAGACATATTAATAGAATTCTTAAAAACTATTATATAAGAGGAAACTGAGGACATACCTATTGAAAAGAATTGATTAAATAAGTACTATGTGTATGTCGCAGCCGAGTGGCGTAGTTGGCCGGCCGACTGGGTTGCTAGCACTTCAATAAAGCTAGCCGCCCGGTTGGTTGGCTGATTGTGCCGATTGGCTGCGACATATACATACAAATATAAAATGTATATGTAGATTACAACACACACCCACAGGCACAACACACAACACAATACACACATTCACAACACAATGCTCACACACGAACTCATTCAATCATTCATTAATGTTGGTTCTTGTTAACATTAAAATATGTACTTGCCACAAAGCTGGAGCGAAATGGTCCCAATACAAGTATTTTATATTACTTACTGGGATAATTTCAAAATTTTAATTGATGGAAATAATGTTATTAAGGAACATTTTTATTTATTTTATTTATTGAGTGACTGACTGACAGACAGCATACAGCCGAAACTACAAAGCGTGAAAAGTTAAAAATTTGGAATGAAGATTCCTTAGGGAGTGTGAAGGAGCACTAAGACTAAGTTCGTATGAAACTTTGTTACTACAAGTAGGAGTTTCAAATTTTGCATGCGGGTTCTTTTTAGGACGTAAGTGCTCACTAAGACGGGATTTTACGAAATTAAACCCCTAAGGGGGTAAATTAGGGGATGAAAGTTTTTATAAAATTTTCTCATTTCTAGACTTAAAACTAGACCACGCGGGCGAAGTCGTGGGCAAAAGCTAGTTTAATTATAAGTCACAAACTTATTCATACATAAGAATAAATAAGAAAAAATAAGAAAAAATCATATTCATTTATTGTTCATAAACATAGGTACAATACATTGGTGTAACAAAAAAACAAAAGCTCAGCCATGATTCACCTTAGTTGGTATATGAACATTGTAAAAAAATAAACGTAATTAACATAAAACAGATTTATAGATTAAAATATCCGATATCAATAAAAAAATTACAACAATGTCGATAAAAAAATAAGTTTTTATTTTAATTTTTATAAATTCTTAAGAAAAAAGATTAAAATTTTAGATAAGATAAATTAAAATGTCAGATACCAATAAAAATAAAAACAATGTCACTTAAAATCTAAGTAATCATTTTAGTTTTGTCAATTCTTGTTAAACTTATCATTTAAAAACATTAATAAGTTTTTTCAGCTAGGAAGCCATTGAGTGTATTTTTAAATCGTTTACTATCATTTATCGATCTAATAGACAGCGGAATTTTATTATAAATTGTTGGTGTGTATGGCACGCAAATTCTACTGAGAAGTTTTCTACATTTATGAGAGACCTTTAGAGTGCCTTCTCGACGACTTTCAATAGGATTTATATCAAAATAGTGTGGGTTGCTTCTATAAATAACATTAATATTTATAGTAAATAGTATTAATACATGTAAATATATTTTTCATTCACAATGCTATACTGAAAAATATTCTTAATGAAAAATGTTTAAAAAAAGCATTCTGAGATAGCACTGTGACTGCACAATTGATCAAAATATAATCATCACCAGCCCTTTTACGTCCCCACTCAGGCCTTCCTTATGGATGGTTAAGGAGGATGGGCCATGACCCTCCACGGTGGCCCAATGCGGATTGGAGGGTATTAACGACTGCAAATGCAGCCGGGACCAACGGCTTAACGTGCCTTCCGAAGCACGGAGTAGCTCGAGATAATATTTTTTTGGTCACCCATCCCGTGACCGACCCTTGCAAAAGTTACTTAACGACTACAATCGCGAGCCGCGGCACTTATCCACTACGCCACCGAGCTACTCCAAAAAATATAATAATTCGAACAAATTTTTATCTTTATCTAAAGTTTAAATATTTGTAATAATATTTATTGACTGTTTGGGTGGATTGCCTGAACATTGATGAAAATACGCTCTGTAGTAGCGAAAAAGTAACAAGTGCTTGAAAAATACATCAGTCCAGTTAGGTCCTGAGTTACTCAGTGGCTAGAGAAGTTTCCCGGATTGCGAAAGATCATGAATTCGAGTCCCATCTCAGAGTGCCAGGGACAAAGTGGATTTTTTTAAGCATTTTTAATTAAAAATATTTTTAAAGTATAGCGGTTCCTCTTAAATCTTCGTAAATATGACCACGTGACTCGTTTTCAAGACAGGAAGGATCAAACAGAGGAATCAGACAAAGACAGGCGGATTTTTTTTCCTACGATACTCAACACACTAAAAAGCTCTATTTCTCGGTTTCTTCAGTGTATAACACTATTGCCTGCGGGAATTCACAAAAACCCTCGCGTTCGTGTATATTATAATAGAAGGCAAGGAAGTTTTTTTTTCCTTATCCTAGTAAAATTTCGTTGCGCGCTTATTTATTGCCAGTCAGACAGATTCTCTATTTATAAACTTATTTATAAAACGATTATAAAATGATTTTTCTCATATGAATACAAAAAATCCTTTAGGTACTGAGTCTGAGAATCGACTGACTCAACGGAGTCTAATTACTCAAACTAGACAGTCTATTCTAATACATAATGATGGACTATTCATTAACAGTTTACAGATTAAGGGCGTTTGTGCACTACACTGAATTTTCCGGTCCGGCAGTCCGATATGTCAGGCCATATGTAGGTAATGCTAGCCTGTGCACTTTCAGGAATTTTACGATCCAAAATTTTACTTTTATCTATTCCGGACCGTTTTTATCCGGTCCGAGATGATGGCATTGAAAAACGTGTTTACGCTTGTGCAATGCTATGTCTGCGATCCGGAAAATTCTTGCGGAGTAGGCTTGGGAAAAAATTATCGAATTATTAAAAATCGATATTTATTTTGGCAATTTTCCGAATTTCCGATATACTGATAATCTATATTTGTTATAGAGTATAAAATTTTATATTTTAAATGATGATTAAATATAGTTGGTAAATATCACTGCATTTGCATTGGCAAACTCGATATACTCGTAGTTCTAATTTGATCATCGTATGGTTCTAGTATCGATACTTTGCTAGATTCTAGAATCGTATTAAAATAGAAAAACAATATCGAATCAAAGGTATCGATAACTTAAGGTAAGACATAAAAGTGTTGTTACGCTTCCACCCCTAAACAACGGAACCCATCTTAATGAAATTTGATACAGAAATAGACTTAACCTTGAGAAAGGACATGGGCTACCTTTTATCGCAAAAAATAGGTGAAAATAGGGGATGAAAGTTTGCATGGAAATTTGTCATTATCAAATTTGTTTTTATGCAATTTATAATCTAAAAGGTATTCTAAACGAAAAAAAAAATCTCGAAAAAACTATACCACGCGTATAAATCGCGATGAAAAGCTAGCATGTAATCTAGCCAACTGATCTTACAATGATTACAGTTAAAATCATGACATTTAAAAACTTACAATGGGATAGCTGATTTAAATTCCACCCTAAAGTTCATTTAGCATATTAATTATCCGCTTAGATGGCACTAATTTCGCTTTAATAACGAAAGGGCGTCAATGATTGGTCCATGTCTGTAATCGCTTGAAATTGTTTTGCAAGACTTTGAAGAAAAATTTCACGATTATTAATTTAAACATCAAGTTCGAGAACATTATCAGTAATTTTATATAAATGTCATATATATATTTTCAGCTACTGTATGTGAAAGAGGTAAGTTTGTCTCGTGATCAAAATATCTGTTATATCATCGAAATAATTTTGTACCTAGTGTATGTGATGTGTAGCTTCAGAGAAAGCTGCTCTAAACTG